GGGAGGGTCCAGCCTGCTCTTTTTGAGAGCTCCGCTGGTTTCGAAGTGCCGGCGGGCTTGGGCATCCCTGGAGGGGAATTCCTCACCGTGACCGTAAGACCAGTCCGCCCACCGCTAAAAGGACGCCCCCGGCTGCCACCAGAGGGAACCCCAGATCTAGGCAGTGGCACGGGCACTCCGCCCCCTTGCAGGTAACGGAGTCTAGTCCGCAACTCTGAGATGATCATACCCCCGCAATGGGAGCATGAGCCATCCACGAAAACCACCTCAGCGTGCTTCATGCCCAGGCACGAGAGGCAGCGATCGTGACCATCACCCAGCACCAGGTAACGACCGCATCCAGAACGCCCGGGTGATATGTTGTCTATAGCAAGACCCACATCGTCTTTACAAAGACGTAACGTCAAGTTTGCCAAGCAACGTCGTCTTTAAAAAGACGCACCCGAAATTGCTCTTTTAGGGGAAAAAGCTCTTTTAGCGTGCTGAGGCGCACAGGGGAGATGATCATCTGCAACACCAACAGGGAGTAGTGCAGCCTGATGTGTGCAACCCACTCGACATGGGAAACCACCACCGCTGAAGCGCCGTACCGCCAACACGAAGAGCTCTCCAAGAGCGCGCTGAACTCGTTCAGTCTTCTTCTCTCAGTAGAGTAGTCAGGAGCAGAACGATGTGATCGCTCGGCTCCGATGAAAAAAGCCTGAATATGCGCTGCATCTGCTGCCTACTTATACTCACGCTGTGATCAGCAGCAGCTGGATGCAATAATCGCATGCCAATGTGCATTGGCTCGTTTAGTTTACACTCGAAGTAGATTGGTCCCTCTAAGCGAGATCCCAATTTCGTCGGTCATCCGACGTGATGTCGGGAGTGACCGACTGAAAGGGAACAGAAATGTTTATACTTGTGGGAGCTGAAAGACTCAGAGCTCATATTCAACATGAACATTCCTTTTGCAAATAGATTTGTAATTTGAAAGATGATGTTTTTTTCTTGCTTTCCTAAATTGGCTGTATTTCAGCACATAAGGGAAAAGTGAATAAACAGAGTAAACCAAAGTAAACACTTGATAGCTTAACTGATTCACAGAGCATAACACACAGACAAGACAGAAAGCTGGAATAACACGACTGATTTATTACTACAAACCTTTTCAAACAGCTCTTGAGTGATCAGTTAAACAGTTCACACTAAATGGCAAACCACAAGTATTTTAAATAAAACTTTCAATGGAATTAATTATCTTGGCAGTGCGATGTGTATGCTGTACTAGAAATATATTGTAACTATATAGGCAGTCTCTCTCTCTCTCTCTCTCACTCACACACACACACACACACACACTGAGTCACACAAGAGGGTGCTGTATCCAACAAAATCCGAGAACGTTAAGCTAAGTTCATTCAGACCATCCTAAGGCAACTATATGGGCTCATATCATCAGGATCTTTCTATTAGAGAACAGTGACAGTGAGTAGGCTATACTTGTTTACTCTGTTATTTTCTGCTGTAGTAGCTTTATCTCTTTATCATATGTGGATATTTTGTCTTCCTTCTTTCTCAGCACATCTTCAGATCTTCTTTATGTAAATAGGTTGAATTAAGGTTAACTGAGTGGCATTAACTGAATACACTGTATAATTCTGTGTATTTGTTCTTGTGTGTGCAGATCAACATTTATGAACATTTGTGAATAGTTTATCAAAATAACAGCTTTTATTATAGCACATTAAGGCAAATGTTATAATGTATATAATATACTAAAAACAAGAGCTCCTAAAAAGAATACAAATAACAGAACATACTATGATGAAAGTTTGATCATTATACATATATAAAAATATATAATTGTGAACATCTTGATATTGAATATCTAAATAAATTTCTATATAAAGATGTAATGCCTTAAACATTTTAAACATAATGAAAATTTAATATTTGTGTATTTTTATATTATATTATATTAAAAATAAAAAATATATTGTTGATGTAACATCATTAGAATCTAACAAAATATCAACATTTGTTTTTTAATGCTTTTTTAGGATTTATACATGTCCTTTTTATGCTGAATCTATAATTCGATTTCCCTTCTATTTGTAATATATTTGTGTATAAAATCAGATTTGAAAATGTGTTAAGGGGATCGTTCACCAAATCATTTATTCACCCTAATGTTGTTCCAAACCTGTATGAATTTCTTTCTTGCATGAAACATTAAAGATGTTTATTTGAAATATTTATTTTTCTCTCCATCTAATGGAAGTTAATAGACACCAAACTGTTCAGTAACCAAAATTTTCTTTCATGTTCTGAGTAAATAATGACAGGATATTTATTTTTGGATGATCTGTCTCTTTAAGGCAAAGAACTAATGAAATACACAGTGATGCAGAACAGCTGTTTTAAGGTCAAGATGCCAATGAGCTGATATGATACTAAGCAGGCTATATATACCAAACTGATCTAGGGAAACAAAGGAGCCGCACCTTATGCGTGAGCGTTTAATGTGTGAGAGCAGTTACACATTTTCCAACCACATATGTAAAAAAACAACAGCGTGGGTGACAATGTACTATTTTATCATGATTGCATATCATTGCCATATTAAATCACCCTAAAGGTAGCAAAAACAAGTGTGAAGAGAGACAACTGATGTGAATGTTTAATGCTTTATTCCTCTCTAGACACTGATAATAATCCTTCAGAAGAACATGTTGCTGCTGAATAAGTTTCCTGCATGGCTTTCTGTATTCGCTTTGCTTTTGCTGACTCAGGAGCCTGTTTCTACGTCAGAGGTCACGGCCTGTGGACTTGCGGGTAAGCTTCCTGGCTGATTCCACTGAAATAATTTTTAAAAAATGGCACAATTCCAGACTTCTGCTCATTCTGTAGTGCAAAGAGAGTCAAACATGACTTTTATGTATAAGCTCTAATAGACTCTTAAATAGAACGGCTAAATATAACCCTCTTTAATAAAAGGGTCCATATAATGAACCATGCTTTTAAAGTGCTATAAACTATTTTACATAGTTTTTTTTTTCATTCATATCTGTTTTATGTCTTTTAACCCTTTCTCTGCCTGGTCTTTTTGTAGCCTCATTTAAATAATGTCAATTGACCGTTCACAAAGAGCTTGATTGACAGGCGATCTGACCAATCAGAACGTGGACATTATGTGCCACCGCTGCTATCCGACATCTATGGCCGGTCTCCATAGAAATCCATGTTAAAACGGGGTAAAAAAGATCGACTGAATTGAAACTTTTTCAATATAACTAAATATAAATATGTAAGGAGTGTTAAGCTGTGCTGTTGTTGGCTGCCACAGTAACGGCAATAAGCTAAGGAATTCCTTTAAAGTACTTGTTTTGCTTACCAGAAAACCTGTCATGTCCGGTGATCCACAGACATTTTGAGGGGCAGGGGCTCAAGTGGGAAAAAAAGAAAAATATTTTTCTAAACAAAACGTTAAATATATTAACACAACTCTGACTTACCAATTTATTTTAATTCCCTCACATTATTGTTTAATTTTTCAACAGATGTCTACAAAAGAATCAGTTCACATAGAGAGACCATGCATGGTCTTCTTTCATTTTATCACAAGAATAGGCAACAACAAAGATGCCACAATGTGCATGTTTTCTATGCTGCTAGTTTCAAGTATATATTTAGTTGTTTTGTTTATCCTATTTATCTGCAATTCCTTGTGTCAAATGTATGCAAATTAGCGCATTTTAATTACTTAACGCCTGATTTGCATATCAATGTGGTGGTTCTGTGGTTCTGATGAGTTTTACTGTATTCAGCTGTCGTTTCTCCATTAGGTTAGCCTGTATGCCTATGATGATATATTGCCTTAGTGCCTTAGCAGATTACACGGTAGCCCAGACAGCAAGCAGACGTTGATTCAACGTCAATTTTTGGTTGTAACGGTCAGTATCAGTCGTCAATCAAATTTCGATGTTGAATCAACGTTCATTATTTGGTCGGTATCAGAGGGATACATTTGAGTTTAGAGTCATGGTGTGTCTTTCATTTAAGTAAAAGCAAGTAAGTTTATGAAGCCTAAAATTGACAGTATGTGAGCCCTTCACAATGCAAAAACTAATGTGATGTTTTTCCTACTGGACATGTTTATGCATAAACCCAAGTAATAATTGAAAACTTCATAAGAATATGGATCATAAATTCAAAATCTCTGTCACTAACTTGCCTAGTGGAGAAGAGGAGAGAAGTATCCTCAACTAAGCTTGGTAATAGCTGATCACTAAATAAATAAAAGAAAGAAAGAACCATAAACTCATATACTAAGCAAATAGTTGACCTATTTAATATTTCTTTAATATTGTATATATTGTCCTTAACATTTGTGACACAGTTTCCTTGATTGCTTAACTTAATGACCAGACAGGGAGGCTTTAGCATGACTTTGTGCAGCAGATCACAAATAATTTGGCTGAGTTCACTGGATTTCACAAACAACTGATGTGAATGTTTAATGCTTTATTCCTCTCTAGACACTGATAATAATCCTTCAGAAGAACATGTTGCTGCTGAATAAGTTTCCTGCATGGCTTTCTGTATTCGCTTTGCTTTTGCTGACTCAGGAGCCTGTTTCTACGTCAGAGGTCACGGCCTGTGGACTTGCGGGTAAGCTTCCTGGCTGATTCCACTGAAATAATTTTTAAAAAATGGCACAATTCCAGACTTCTGCTCATTCTGTAGTGCAAAGAGAGTCAAACATGACTTTTATGTATAAGCTCTAATAGACTCTTAAATAGAACGGCTAAATATAACCCTCTTTAATAAAAGGGTCCATATAATGAACCATGCTTTTAAAGTGCTATAAACTATTTTACATAGTTTTTTTTTTCATTCATATCTGTTTTATGTCTTTTAACCCTTTCTCTGCCTGGTCTTTTTGTAGCCTCATTTAAATAATGTCAATTGACCGTTCACAAAGAGCTTGATTGACAGGCGATCTGACCAATCAGAACGTGGACATTATGTGCCACCGCTGCTATCCGACATCTATGGCCGGTCTCCATAGAAATCCATGTTAAAACGGGGTAAAAAAGATCGACTGAATTGAAACTTTTTCAATATAACTAAATATAAATATGTAAGGAGTGTTAAGCTGTGCTGTTGTTGGCTGCCACAGTAACGGCAATAAGCTAAGGAATTCCTTTAAAGTACTTGTTTTGCTTACCAGAAAACCTGTCATGTCCGGTGATCCACAGACATTTTGAGGGGCAGGGGCTCAAGTGGGAAAAAAAGAAAAATATTTTTCTAAACAAAACGTTAAATATATTAACACAACTCTGACTTACCAATTTATTTTAATTCCCTCACATTATTGTTTAATTTTTCAACAGATGTCTACAAAAGAATCAGTTCACATAGAGAGACCATGCATGGTCTTCTTTCATTTTATCACAAGAATAGGCAACAACAAAGATGCCACAATGTGCATGTTTTCTATGCTGCTAGTTTCAAGTATATATTTAGTTGTTTTGTTTATCCTATTTATCTGCAATTCCTTGTGTCAAATGTATGCAAATTAGCGCATTTTAATTACTTAACGCCTGATTTGCATATCAATGTGGTGGTTCTGATGACGTTATTAGTTTTACTGTATTCAGCTGTCGTTTCTCCATTAGGTTAGCCTGTATGCCTATGATGATATATTGCCTTAGCTAAACTTTAGATTACACGGTAGCCCAGACAGCAAGCAGACGTTGATTCAACGTCAATTTTTGGTTGTAACGGTCAGTATCAGTCGTCAATCAAATTTCGATGTTGAATCAACGTTCATTATTTGGTCGGTATCAGAGGGATACATTTGAGTTTAGAGTCATGGTGTGTCTTTCATTTAAGTAAAAGCAAGTAAGTTTATGAAGCCTAAAATTGACAGTATGTGAGCCCTTCACAATGCAAAAACTAATGTGATGTTTTTCCTACTGGACATGTTTATGCATAAACCCAAGTAATAATTGAAAACTTCATAAGAATATGGATCATAAATTCAAAATCTCTGTCACTAACTTGCCTAGTGGAGAAGAGGAGAGAAGTATCCTCAACTAAGCTTGGTAATAGCTGATCACTAAATAAATAAAAGAAAGAAAGAACCATAAACTCATATACTAAGCAAATAGTTGACCTATTTAATATTTCTTTAATATTGTATATATTGTCCTTAACATTTGTGACACAGTTTCCTTGATTGCTTAACTTAATGACCAGACAGGGAGGCTTTAGCATGACTTTGTGCAGCAGATCACAAATAATTTGGCTGAGTTCACTGGATTTCACAACAGTTTGACTCATGGGATTAGATGGAGTTTAAAATTCCAATTGGATGCTTGTTTCAGGTGCTTGGTCTGTCTTCAAGCCAGAAGTTGTTAGTGCAGTCAACATTGTTCATACACAGTGTTCTTTTCCCACAGTGGATCCACCTGCCAATATTGAGATAACAGACCCTGGCTTCCTGGGTTACCTCAGTATCCACTGGACTCAGCCAGCCAGCCTTCAGAACCTTACAGGCTGCACAGTACGATACCAGCTCAGATACTATGACACCTATGAGGAACGATGGAGGGTAAGAATCCTCGAGAACTCACAGAACACACCACACACAGTCTCATTTGTTTTCCTTTCAGCACATAAGCATTTATACGTTAGTGTAGTTTTTACTTAATGCATGCCACACTTCAAATGTTTTGAAATAACTATGCTATGAAGAATTCTAAGTTTATTTTGTGGTCATTTCTCTGAAATTGTTCTGACACCACATTACTAAAGCTTTGTTCAATCTTGCTGGATAAACCTGGTCTAGTATTTCACCATTTTTGTGACTCATTATCAGCCAAATACATGTTTCTTTCTGAACATTTGTACTTGTTACATTTAGTGCTTTAATCTAAATAAAAAAGATGGTTCAGAGCCAAATCAGTAAATATGCGTTTGTCTCTGTTCATAAATCATGGTTCAGTAAACGTCCTACACAACCTCTTAGTAAACCAAAGACAGTTAAGTGTTCCACGGAACTCCTCAAGATTCAGTCTGAAACTCCTCAGTCAGAGCCAAATTCTGGGTTTCATTTAATGCAACCCCTCAGCGAGAACAACTCCCTGCAAGTGATGTACTTAGTATTCAGAGAGACGTATTTGTTCTAAATTATCTTCAAAACATAGCAGCTTTTCATGCTTTATGTATACTGATATCATGCTCTTATTCTTGCAAACGTAGTGATTTATGACTCAAAATTTCCCTCTTTTTGTGTTGTACAGAGTGTTCGAACTGTCAAGCTGACTTATGCTGCTCAGTTTGATCTTGAGAAACCAGTCAAGGTGAGAATACTCACTGTGCTGAAGTGTGCCTGTACCAATGGGACAGAGGTCCAAGGGGAGGAGAAAGAGTGGGTCTACACACCTGAACCTACAGGTAAAGATTCAAAACCTATTCCACCCCACTGAAGCGAGCAAGAGCAAAGATCAACCATATATAGTGTATTGTGATTGCAAAGGAATCTAACTGAAGCCCTAATGTATTCCTTACGTTATTTGCTTCATTTAAACATGCACTCAGTAAATTAATCCCAATCATTTTACCTCTAAAACTGGTTACTTTTGAAAAACATGTTAAAAACAACCACCTATGAAGACTCTAACATTCACAGTAAGTAGTAATAAATATAGCTTTTTTTTTACAAATAGCATGTCATTTCATTGTGTTTGGAGATCACATACCAATCTTTGTGATTCCTGTTATTGATACTTTTGCTGGCAAAAATATTCATGGCTGGTGGGAAATAGAGCATTTCCACACTCGCGTTGGTAACTAAAAACATGTGCTTTTTTTTGCGAGTATCTGATTGTAAGCTCCAGATAATGAAAATAGCAAATTAGGAAAAAAAACGTCAGACAGACTGCACAGGAAGACTCAACAAATATCAGCAAGGCCATGCAAACATACTGCATTTGCTTAATGCTGCATTCACGCCAGGTCGTAATTACTGTAACTTCAAGATGACAACATGTGGCTTGTTACTTGGAGCTGTTCACACCCTTAGACTCGGAACTTTGGCACAATGCCTATAGCGTCTAATGAATCTGATGTCGTCAGGTGGTACAAGTTGTAGCTCTCAGAAAATTCCCAATTCACAAGTTGTAATACCATATGGCCTGAATGCACCTTAATGCTGTATTCATGTCGTAATTACTGTAATTTCGAGATGACCACACGTGACATTCTACTTGGAGCTGTTCATACCCTTGTATTCGGAACTATCGCACTATCAATGCCTAAATATAGCGCATAATGAATCTGAGGTGGTCAGGTGGTACCGTTTTGTGGCTCTTTAATGTGTCGTGAGTCATGACAGATCAATGTAGTGCCTCAGTTCAAGCGGCATGTGAACCGATCGTCTCTTCTTCTTTACTAGTTATAGCATGAAATAAATATGTATGACCATCAAAATGTATCTTGTTTCAACCGTGTAAATACAGTGCTGTAAAAAGGTTTTTGCCCCCTTCCTGTTTAAATTTTTTTTTTGCATATTTGTCACACTTAAAAGATTCAGATCATCAAACTAATTTTAATATTACACAAAGATAATGCAAGTAAATACAAAATGCAGTTTTTAAATGATGATTTCATTTATTAAGGGAAAAAAGCTGTCCAAACCTACGTGGCACTACGTGAAAAATTTATTTCCCCCTCCTGTTAAATCATGAAAGAACTGCAATTAAGTTGTGGCCTAATGGTTAGAGAGTCGGACTCATAATCCAAAGGTTGCGGGTTTGAGTCTCGTACCGGCAGGGATTGTAGGTGGGGGGAGTGAATGTACAGCACTCTCTCCCACCTTCAATACCACGACTGAGGTGCCCTTGAGCAAGGCACCAAACCCCCAACTGCTCCCCGGGCGCCGCAGCATAAATGGCTGCCCACTGCTCCGGGTGTGTGTTCACGGTGTGTGTGTGTGTTCACTGCTGTGTGTGTGCACTTTGGATGGGTAAATGCAGAGCACTAATTCCGAGTATGGGTCACCATACTTGGCCACATGTCACGTCACTTAAAGTCACTAAACCACATTATTTTAGAAAGCTGCCATTATCCACAAATTGAGAAAACTTGGAACAATGGTGAACCTTCCCAGGAGTTGCCGGCCAACCAAAATTACTCCAAGAGAACAACGTCGACTCATTCAAGAGGTCATAAAAGAATCCAGAACAACATCTAAAGAACTGCAAGCCTCACTTGCCTCAGTTAAGGTCAGTGTTCATGATTCAACAAAAAGAAAGAGACTGGGCAAAAACGGCATCCATGGGAGAGTGCCAAGGCAAAAGCCACTGCTGACCAAAAAGAACACAAAGGCTCGTCTCTCATTTGCCAAAAAATATCTTGATTATCCCAAGACTTTTGGGCAAATATTCTGTGGACTCCTTTTTGGAAGGTGTGTGTCCCGTTACATCTGGCGTAAAACCAACACAGCATTTCATAAAAAGAACATCATACCAACAGTCAAAC